GGCATCATTAAATGCATCAGAAAGTCTATTGGCAATATTTTGTAAATGAATGATTCTATGGATCTCATTTTCACATTCAGAGGTACGTGGGTCGAGATGAGATAAATGTTGCTCACATCATGTGAGATTCTCGATTGGTTTTTGTTTATCATTACCACGGATATTCTGAATATCCTTACCAATCGATAAATAATGTCTCATCAAAATGACAATCCGCAAATCTAGCGGTAAATAAATCACCCGTCATTGGTTCCAAGAACCTAATAATCGACGGTGAATCAAACCCAACGTATATGCCAAGTCGGCGTTGGGGACCCATTTTAGTCCTCTGAGGAGGAGGAATTGACACTTGCACAGCGCAACCAAATGTGCGAAGGTGCGAAATATCAGACTCAAAGCCTAATGCCAATTGCATTGGGGAATGCATATGATAAGCAGTGGGGCGTAATTTAATCAGTGCTGACGCATGCAATACTGCATGGCCCCATGCTGCACTAGTGAGTTTATATCTCATCAGCAATGTACGAGCAATTATTTGGACGCGTTTAATCAAAGATTCCGCCAGTCCATTTTGAGTGTGAACGTATGCTACTGGGTGCTCGACATTTATTTCCAGAGCTGCACAATAATATATGCCAGCAAACGCGCAAATACTATATTTCGCATAAATAATAAGCATACGTGGTATCATTATGCGACATAATTGTTGCATTCCCGGAGTCATCTATTATCTCCACGGGATTTGATATGATTTTAACTTGTGTCTTGCACAATGTCACACTCGAGAAATATATTTATTTTATTAAATATTGAGTGTGTAATTGCACTATCTCAGTAGGCAATAGTCATATTTAGCCATGTTTTTCATGTACGCGTATCACAGTCAGCTCGACCTCGGGTATTTATCCTCCAAGGGAGATATGTACATATGGGTTTACCCAAACAACTTGATCTTGGGAATCACATCATCCAAGAGAGGTTAAACATGGATACACACAAAATAATTCAATCTCGGGAATCACATCTTCCGAGAGAGATATATATACACTGGGTACAAGATAACCCAAAACCCCTTAAATTTGGGCTTGTGATTAATAGCCTCTAAGTTGGCTCTTGACGGGTTTTATCACGTCTGAACTCAACGAGCTTCAGGCTCGGAGATATACTCAGATATTTGGCCTTTAAATCGGCTTTTGACGGATATTATCACGTCTTGACTCAACGAGCTTCAGGCTCGGAGATATATTCAGATATTTGGCCTTTAAATCGGCTTTCGACGGATATTATCACGTCTTAACTCAACGAGCTTCAGGCTCGGAGATATCTTTAGATATTTGGCCTTTAAATCGACTTTTGACGGATATTATCACGTCTTAACTCAACAAGCTTCAGGCTCGGAGATATATTCAGATACTTGGCCTTTAAATCGACTTTTGACGGATATTATCACGTCTTAACTCAACGAGCTTCATGCTCGGAGATATATTCAGATATTTGGCCTTGCTTTTGACGGATATTATCACGTCTTGACTCAACGAGCTTCAAGCTCGGAGATATTTTCAGATATTTGGCCTTTAAATAGGCTTTTGACGGATATTATCACGTCTTGACTCAACGAGCTTCAAGCTCGGAGATATTTTCAGATATTTGGCCTTTAAATAGGCTTTTGACGGATATTATCACGTCTTGACTCAACGAGCTTCAGGCTCGGAGATATTTTCAGATATTTGGCATTGCTTTTGACGGATATTATCACGTCTTGACTCAACGAGCTTCAAGCTCGGAGTTATATTTGTGATTTAGCCTCTAAATCGGCTTTCTTGTCTCAACGAGTTAAGACTCGGAGTTGTATTAAATATTTAGCCTCTAAATCGGCTTTCTTGCTTCAACGAGTTTAGACTCGGGGCTATATTAAATATTTAGCCTCTAAATCGGCTTTCTTGCTTCAACGAGTTTAGACTCGGAGCTATATTAAAGATTTATTTTATTTGACGGGAATTCCAACGTCTTGACTCAACGAGTTTTTCACTCGGAGTTATAGTATGACCTCTATACGGTCTCTGTTAAGCTCTACGGGTACTACGCCCGGAGTTGATAGCCTATAAATCGGCTTTAAACGGAGATTATTATTTCCCCAACTCCACGAGCTTCATGCTCGGAGTTTATATCTTGGCCTCTAAGTCGGCCCACAGATCTGTTGATATATAGCACGTGCTTATAACACTACTTGGGATCCACAAGCTTGCAAATATAAATTTCAGCAGCAATTCAACAAATAAATAAGCAATAGATTAATATACACGAATTCATCATATCCTTCGAGAAATGATAGCGTATAAAATACCGAAGTATTCGCTAATCATTCTCGTTTGTCTTTTCGACAATATTATCGAGGATCTGGATTTTCGTAAAATAAAATAGAAAGAAGAATACAAAAATAGCAAATTCCTATCGAGCAAAAACTCGTGCTGATAACGTGTTATAGAATAATATATTATATTATGAGAATTATGAAGAAAGAAGTTTGCGGAGGAAGAAATTGCATTCGAATGAGGTTGCCGTATATTTCACATAGCCAATGCATTTATTTATACAAGAATTTGTACAAGCCTTGTCAACCAAAAACTAATTTATGTCTTGACACGTAGCATCATAAGAAGCTTTATTAGACATGTCATGCTACATGAATACTTAATCCATAAGCTATCAAAATGTTGAGTCCACGTGATGAATAGATATACTTCAGTATTATAATACAAAATTCGGGGAGTTTGTTTGTTCGGTCTTTTTATTTGAAATATACGTAACATAGTAATCGTAAAAATATAAATTTACCTTAGCTATGTCATCACAAGTAGGGGTGGGAACGAGCCGAGCTCGAGCCGAGCTCGGCTCTTTTGGCCAGCTCGACCTCGAGCTCGAGTCCATGTTCCCGAGCTCGAGCTCATTGAGCCAATTTTTTTTGGCTCGAGCTCGAGCTCGAGCCAATTTTGGCGAGCTCAGGCTTATAAATAATATTTTTTTATTTTTTTTATTATTATTATTTAATTTTTTATTAAAATTATTTTTTTTATTAGAAATTATTCATAGGGAAATAAAAAAAAATTATAAAATAAATAATGAACTCTAGTTATATATATTTTTTTATTTTTTCTATTATTATTATTATTATTATTATTATTATTATTATTATTATTATTATTATGA